TGTGTATTTTGAAAGTATCACAGCATATTGTAAACCTAGGAGTGTTGACGTGTCTGAACACATTCCACTCACGGAGATACTCCCAACAAGTCCCAACACACCAAAGGGAACACATCAGGCTGATGTTGCGGGGCTGTGGAGGAAGTCTGTTTCTGAAACACATGCAGATGCACTCATGGCACCAACTGAACCCTCGGTGTTGCTTATCTTTCTTCAACAGCAGCAGGGCATTGCTTCATGGGACTGTATAGTGTTTGTGATAGCATTCATTTCCTGACCCCCGATCCTTTCCTCCTTCCCTGAAGTTTTCCACCACGCAGACTCGAGCCTGAGAACTTTGTTGGTTTGTGTGTCTGGAAGAAAAGCTAATGACTGTTTATCATTCCATGCAGAGACGCCTCGTGTGTGTCTGATGTGTGGACAAAAACATTTCAGTGTATGGGCGACCAACTGTAAAAACTAAGGCATTAGCAATTAGCTTCAAACAGCTATGTTTAAATACATATTAAGAAAACAAATAAAAGTTTTACAGTTTTATAACTAAATGTTGAAATTTAGCAGTTTTAAACTAAATACTCGTCACACACACATGCTACAGAAATGCTAGGGAAACAAGATCCCCTAACATCGGCCCCTTTTAGAGGACACACCCTGCCGGCAAATCAGCATGATACTGCCGCAATGGTGTGTCTTACGAAAGCGACAGAGCTACGTGGAAATGTTGCGGCATTCGTGCTGCCACGCGTGGTTGTAAATTAACCGCAACACCGGACAGAGGAAGGTGTTGTGATCACGCGGGGAGTTACTGACGAGCTGCGGAAGGGAAATATGTTCAAAATGAACGTAAACACAGGCAATTAGTTGAGCCTTTGTGGTCAGAATGCAGCGCTCCTAGAGCTGTTCTCCGTTAGAGCTGGAGCTCAGACCACCAGAGACTCCACAGGGACTGTGGAGGACAGACACCTTTAGAGCTGCTTGTTCAAAAACTTCATGAGCGCGGCTTTGATCCCAATAAAAAGCAAGTTATGTCCATGAACATGAGTCTGCTTCTAGACCTGCAGAAAAACGACACACAACAATACAACAAGCTATCACTGCGTCAGCCTGATGAAGAAATATAAAAACATTGTTTTACTAAACAATCACACGATAATAAATCACAGTGCATTTAGTGCCAACCACAGCCTTAAGACCTGTGTTGAACGTGCCCTAGTCCATTCAAGTCAAGTCAAAGTCATTTATTGTCATTTCTACCACATGTGCAAGACATACAGAGAAACGAAATTGAGTTTCAGTACACACAATTCAGAGATCAGACATACGTGGGCAAGACACATGACAAGAATTGGTGACTGCGGTCATTCGCAACACGAGTCGCGCTACCTTAATAGATGAAAAGGGAATTACATGAGGATAAGTTGGGGGAGGGAAAAAAGGCATACCATAGTTACTCCCGACAGGGCGTAGCTGTACTATGCAAAAACAAAAAAAATACACCTCAAACATATAAGCACGAACTTCAACATTCACAACATGAGACTCCGTTGGGGGGGGGGGGGGACTCGGAACCTGTTTATCCAGGGCCAGCAGCCATGTGTGGCGCTCAGCCAGCTGTATCCACTGGAGGGAGAGAGATCTTGGGAGGAGCATAGAGCACATTTCCTGCAGGTTGATGGCCTCGCTATGAAGTCCACAATATGAAGGCCGGGGGGGGGGGGGGGGGGGGGGACGGGTTTCCACAGCATCTGTCTGCATTCCTTCCTTCGTGAGGGTTGGTTTTAGCAGCTTCAAGGCTGCCTTGGCATCAGATTAGGATAACAAGACTGTGTTTGGGTCAGGCAGAGATAATTTTCCCTCTGCCTTCAGTCTGTAACTGGTCATTCCAGTCCTTCAGTGAAGCCAATTCGGGTTATTAAACATCTCCACACCGTCCGGTGACCCTCTCCGAGATGACATCCATTTTGCGCACCAACACCGGTAACGCAGCTAAGACATTGTCCAGCTTACGATTCACCTCGAGTAACGTCCCAGTCTGTGAGGTCTCCGCCCGGACGGTGCTGTCCATGGGTGTGGGTCTCATTCTTATGAGAGCACCATGTGAGCACCTGTGTGTGTACACGCGCTTGTTTATGTAAGGTTTCTCGATAGGAGCGTCCAATAGAGAGTGTGAGGGACCACAGATCCGCCCCCCAAACATGTGTAGGAGACGGGGGGAGCTCCAAGTCCCAGAGATCCAGGCACTGTCCCAGAACACAGGAACCTCAAGGAGACCGCATCCAGAAAGGCCCCCGCCCCCCTTGAGAGGCATAGAGGATCGCCCCGGGGGGCCACAACCAGCAGCCGGCAGAGTCGTGGGAAATAACAGTAGCAAACCCACAGGCCCACCCGCAGCCTCCCACCCCCACGCCGGCCGAGCCCAGAACCCAGCAACCCGGGACCCAGGGGTGACCAGCCCCGCCAAGGACCCAGCAGAGCCCAGGGACCCAGACCCCACCAGGCAGCCACCAGGACTGGTCAGGCAGACGCCAAAATCTTAATTTTTTAAATGTTAATTTTTAACCGTATCATTAGATTTAAGTTTAAACATCTAAACAATAATACTGAAGCAAACGTAAAACATCATTGGGAGGAGCTCAGTGTGACAATTAAACGTTTTTATTGGTATTAATTTGCAGCTGGTGCCCGTTAGAAGTGTGGCGCTGTTTGGTTTTATTTAGAGGAGGAAGATTTGGAACTGGAAAGGAACGTTTCCACCTGACTGAACAGGTTGCCATGAGAGTCTGGGTCTGTTAGAGGCTTGACTCCCACCGGAAAAACACCAACATGAACCACAATTATTACAGCTTTTCCAGCTCTTCCTCCTTACCACCTCACCGAGCACATGTCTCACCACATCACACAAGAAGCTAAACTCTAGTGGTGCTGTGGTAGAATAGCTGCTAAACATAATAGAGACGGGGATGTTTGAGCCCACACAGCTAGTTAGGGAGTTATCTGTCTGAGAAATGGGACACCTGACTCTGAGCCAACACGTCGCCCTGTTGGGGGAAGTGTGTTACTCATGCACCAGCTTCCTGCAGAGCCTTCAGCAACACGAGTCATGTGACTTCTTCACGCCAGATCTTATGTCACAAAATGACTTTGGTTGCTGCTTTTACTTTCTTCACCTCTTTTAAAATTTAACAGTCTCTGTACTCCGCCTAAAGACAGCACCGTACTGGTTCAAACCTGTTTGGATTGGAACTGAGAGGACACACCTTCTCTGCCCCCGCCTCATCAGCCAAAAGCTGCAAGCTTTCTATCAGCTCAGAGCAGACCATCAGCCTGATAGAGAGATCAACCGTCAGTGGATCAGTTCGGATTACAGCCAATCAGGAGAAAGGAATCTGATGCCCCCCCCCCCCCACACACACACACACACTCACACAGTCACACACACATACACACGCACACACACGCACACACACGCACGCACGCACATACACATACACACGCACACACACACACACATACACACACACACGCACACACGCATGCACACACACACAGACACACACAGACACACACACACACGTATTATTTTAGCGTGGTGAACTTATTCATCTCAGTTTGTTTTTCTGTCTCATCTACTCTGTTAATATCAGGTTTCTGCTTCACAGAAAACAAGGCAGATTATCAGATTATTATTAATGTCTGCATGATCAAATCAAAAAGGTGTTCTGGTTCTCTGTTCTGCTCATTATTACAGTTCCATTTAAGTTAATGTTGTCATCATCACACAGGTTTCTGATAACTCACCTGAACATCAGCCACAAGCGGCTCATAACTCTGTACATTAATCTGCTGCTGCCTGCTCCACCGAAGCAGTTCATGATAAATAAAGCATGAAACATTAATTAGCAAAACACACAATGCTATTTTTATTAAAAACTGCATCTTTATTTATGTCAGCTAACATCTGATTAAACTGGCTTTTCACAAACAAACTCTTCAGGTGTTTATTGTCGTAAATCAAGACAATAACATTAAATCAACATCACGGTGCAACAACAGAAACAAGGGTTTGGCCTAAAGCCAAACGTAAAAACGATGTGATCTGATGATCTAACTCCACCTGTTAGCATTTAGAAGATGTGTTGAGAGTAACTTTCAGCTGCCACCACATCAGAATTCATCTCTAAATGTCTCAAAGGTTTCCTGAAGCCAAGCAGCAGTTGTAGCCATCTTGTCTTGGGTTGACTTCACAGACTAATCAATTACAAATGTTCACTAATGATTATTTCCCAACAAATGATTTGCTAAAGGACAGAAAGAGTCGACTCACAAGGTCAACAGCAGTGTCTGAGTGTCGTGTTTCAGACCCTGTTAGAGATCTTTGTGTGACGCCAAACTCTACATCCATGTTGGTAAAACCGATCCAGTTCTATCTGGAGCCTCAGCAGGAGCTGGGTGTCCAATCATCAGAGGGAAAGTAGTTCACCATCAGATTATAACTGAATGAGTGAAGGATTAATGGACTAAAAATAATAATAATAATTATTATTATTATTATAGGCTGAAGGCAGAATTTGAAGCGAGGTCTCTACAGTGTGTAAAATAAGTGTGAATGACGGATGAGGGTTTAGCCTCTGCGCAGTGTTTTTATAGAACACTCGTGTCAAAATAGTCAATAAATAAATGAGGAAATAAAAAGTGAACGAATGACCGAAGAAGTAAATATAAATAAGCAAACTGAACACACGTTGCCTTTATTCAAAATACAAAAATAAACGTTTTTTTTTTTCATGTTTATTTAAACGTTTATTTCTCATGTCTGCTGTGGCGGGACGAGTCCTCCACGTTCTTCATCGGAGTCAAAAAGTCAGCAGCGTTTATTTTCAAAACCCACTTCTCCCAGCGTACCGTGAAGGCACCAGCAGGCGCGTCTACGGGAAGTTTCATGTCATTATCCAATCAGAAGCGCCCGTCACTAATACGTCTACCACAACAGGGACCTGCGTGGCTCCATGTTGGATCCTACCAGCTCGAGGCTCCGGAGCTCCACCTGCGCACCAGCACCCAGCCGACAAGCCCGCTGCGCTTCGCGGGCTCAGGTATGACGGCGGCCAGCCGACAACCCCCAGCAGTGTCACGGAGAAAGGCTGTCTCGGGCTCCGGTTGAAGCACCGCACCGATCGGCGCCAGTTACACAGTTTTACCGGGTCTGAGGGCAGAGACGCACCTGAGCGGCGGGTGAAAAGTGGCATGAAGCAGGAACCGCTGTGCTGAGATAAAACCGCGCGGACAGTAAGTGTTTTAGTTTTCACCACCGAGTTTCATTTATAAACTTTAAAAACGGAGGGTGGTTGTTTCCGAAGAGATGCGGGTGAATGCAGAAGTCAGCCGTTCCGGGTCATTATAACAAGTCCCTGCATGTCACCTGACCCGAAAGACGAGCTGCTCTCAGCTCCGCGCGAGACAAAAGGTCAAGTGTGTGAGCCGCCGAGCAGAGATCTCCCTCTCAGGTCTTCTACCTGAAGAATGGCTCCTGCTCTGGACTTTCTGACTCCGGAGACTTAGGACCTTTAGGAGCCGCATTCATGGACTTCACGGGCTGTTTTCACTCATTCTGCCGGAACCTCACAGCTCTTAAAGGGACAGTTCACACTTTTCAAGTACTTCTGCTGTCTGGACTACCACAGTGTGAAGGAATAGATTAGCTCCAACGGCGCAAACGAGTAACACACACACACACACACACACACACACACACACACACACACACACACACACACACACCACACACACACACACAGGGAAGAGAAAAGCAGGGAAACTTTCCCGGATGCTTCTGGATAAAGTTCGGTTGTGTTACATTCAGAAGGTTGTGTGCAGATCCCACACCACAGACCTGACTGCACGTGGTTGCATTCCACCCAGCCTACTAGATAATGCCATTTCTCATGTCCCGAGGTGGTTGAAAGCAGGTCCTGGAAGCATCGGGTGTTTCGTCCTGTCAGAACAGGAAAAGCATGTGCTAACATCTACCAGAAGGCTCTGCTCTGTGCCAGACTGTGACAGTCAGCAGCGCTGGCCTTGATCCTCTGCCAGAAGGGGGAAGAATTCATTTGAAAGATAAAGTGGCTTACCCCTCTAGTCACATGTTTATAATGACAGGGTTATTCTGATGTATACCCAGCTCATCGGTAGACTTGTAGATAGAATTATAAATGTGAGAAAGGTTAGAAAACCCCATAAACTTTCTGCTCCTTCATTTAGTTTAAGATTAGGGCTGCAACAATATATCGTTATCATGATATCAGCATGCACAATATGCATATCGCAAAGAACAGATAAATATCGTAACGAATGTTCAGCTTAAATGTTTGCTACACATGATGCATGCTGTCGGTCAAACATGATGAAGCATGATGTTTCTTTAACAAATCTAATAGAGATCTTCACCCATTTGGCCAACTGGGTGGGTTCTCATAGGTTAGATGCCCCGCCCCCGATGTGAACGGCACTTAATTTAGAAGGTTAGCAAACACCCGAGTTAGCTTTGTTCTGCTGATTCTGCTTTTCCTGGGATCCACTGATCGCCTTTTCTTGTTTATTTTCTTTTCCCTTTCCTCACATCTTTTGCTTTTCTCATTTTCATGAATTTTTTTTAGTAATTTAATAATTTCTTTGTTGGGCTGCACAATATTAGGAAAACCTGCGATATTCGATAACAGTGCTTAATATTGCGATATCGATATTACTCACGATAAATGAACAAATACTAAAGTATGCGGGGTTGATGTCGTCTGGCGTGTGACGTCTGCTCTGGGTTCAAAGCAAACAAAAACTAATGCATGAATTCCATTATAACATAACATTTTTATTGCAAAAATATGCATCTGCACCTGCTGCTGTATTAGCAGCTGCACCCGCTACTGTACTAGCAGCTGCACCCGCTACTGTATTAGCAGCTGCACCCGCTACTGTATTAGCAGCTGCACCCGCTACTGTATTAGCAGCTGCACCCGTTACTGTATTAGCAGCTGCACCCGCTACTGTATTAGCAGCTGCACCTGCTACTGTATTAGCAGCTGCACCCGCTACTGTATTAGCAGCTGCACCCGCTACTGTATTAGCAGCAGCACCCGCTACTGTATTAGCAGCTGCACCCGCTACTGTATTAGCAGCTGCACCCGCTACTGTATTAGCAGCTGCACCCGCTACTGTATTAGCAGCAGCACCCGCTACTGTATTAGCAGCTGCACCCGCTACTGTATTAGCAGCTGCACCCGTTACTGTATTAGCAGCTGCACCCGCTACTGTATTAGCAGCTGCACCTGCTACTGTATTAGCAGCTGCACCCGCTACTGTATTAGCAGCTGCACCTGCTACCTTATTAGCAGCTGCACCCGCTACTGTATTAGCAGCTGCACCCGTTACTGTATTAGCAGCTGCACCCGCTACTGTATTAGCAGCTGCACCCGCTACTGTATTAGCAGCTGCACCCGCTACTGTATTAGCAGCTGCACCCGTTACTGTATTAGCAGCTGCACCCGCTACTGTATTAGCAGCTGCACCTGCTACTGTATTAGCAGCTGCACCCGCTACTGTATTAGCAGCTGCACCCGCTACTGTATTAGCAGCTGCACCCGCTACTGTATTAGCAGCAGCACCCGCTACTGTATTAGCAGCTGCACCCGCTACTGTACTAGCAGCTGCACCCGCTACTGTATTAGCAGCTGCACCCGCTACTGTACTAGCAGCTGCACCCGCTACTGTACTAGCAGCTGCACCCGCTACTGTATTAGCAGCTGCACCCGCTACTGTACTAGCAGCTGTACCCGCTACTGTACTAGCAGCTGCACCCGCTACTGTATTAGCAGCTGCACCCGCTACTGTATTAGCAGCTGCACCCGCTACTGTACTAGCAGCTGCACCCGCTACTGTATTAGCAGCTGCACCCGCTACTGTACTAGCAGCTGCACCCGCTACTGTATTAGCAGCTGCACCCGCTACTGTATTAGCAGCTGCACCCGCTACTGTATTAGCAGCTGCACCCGCTACTGTACTAGCAGCTGCACCCGCTACTGTACTAGCAGCTGCACCCGCTACTGTATTAGCAGCTGCACCCGCTACTGTATTAGCAGCAGCACCCGCTACTGTATTAGCAGCTGCACCCGCTACTGTACTAGCAGCTGCACCCGCTACTGTATTAGCAGCTGCACCCGCTACTGTATTAGCAGCTGCACCCGCTACTGTATTAGCAGCTGCACCCGCTACTGTACTAGCAGCTGCACCCGCTACTGTACTAGCAGCAGCACCCGCTACTGTACTAGCAGCTGCACCCGCTACTGTACTAGCAGCTGCACCCGCTACTGTATTAGCAGCTGCACCCGCTACTGTATTAGCAGCTGCACCCGCTACTGTACTAGCAGCTGCACCCGCTACTGTATTAGCAGCTGCACCCGCTACTGTACTAGCAGCTGCACCCGCTACTGTACTAGCAGCTGCACCCGCTACTGTATTAGCAGCTGCACCCGCTACTGTACTAGCAGCTGCACCCGCTACTGTATTAGCAGCTGCACCCGCTACTGTATTAGCAGCTGCACCCGCTACTGTACTAGCAGCTGCACCCGCTACTGTATTAGCAGCTGCACCCGCTACTGTATTAGCAGCTGCACCCGCTACTGTATTAGCAGCTGCACCCGCTACTGTATTAGCAGCTGCACCCGCTACTGTATTAGCAGCTGCACCCGCTACTGTATTAGCAGCTGCACCCGCTACTGTATTAGCAGCTGCACCTGCTACTGTATTAGCAGCTGCACCCGTTACTGTATTAGCAGCTGCACCTGCTACTGTATTAGCAGCTGCACCTGCTACTGTATTAGCAGCAAAACAACAAACTGCATGCATGCAGTTTCTCAGTGACTTTAAAACATCACCTCCACCATAAAACTTTTTCTGATGCTCCAAATACAGAAAAACATCCCTTACCAGGGTTTTTAGAATAAATAAAAACATCAGAAAATAAGTTTAAATGTTAAATAATAGTTAACATCACTTAAATGCAACAGCAAATTCTCTCATTGCTACTGAGCATTTTCTCCACTTATGTGGTTATGATATAAGGCTGTTGCTGTAATTGGGAAGTGAACTGTGCCGGGCCAAACTAGGAGAATATTAAGATTTTCTGAGGGAAAGAGAAAAACAATTGTCTACCTTTCAGAAGAGGAACTGGCAAAAAAAAACTACATGGAAAATATGTGAAAACGTTTGTTTTTAACCCCAAATTGAACAAGTTTACCTAGATCTTAAAAAGCAGCTCAGATGATGAAACTGCAACTATGATTCTGATAACAAGCTAACAAATTGAAGTAGCTCCTCTAAGATAAGCGGCTAGCAGAGCTTCTGACTGACAGTTTATGTGCAGCAGCAAATCAACTATCCTGATTAACAAGGTTATAAAAGCTCTTAAATGAAAAATCACTTTGATGTGTGGGGGAACTTTTCCAGGCCCTCTTCAGCAGGGTGGGACTGGGAGGAGAGTGCTGTAGCCTTTTAGCTGGAAGCTAACCGGAGCCTGGGGCTAACACTAGCGACATGGAGGTGGGTTGGTTCACCGGCACGTGTCGGAGTCAGCCCGGTTATTATCAGCTGCTTAACGACACAGAGCGGACTCACGTTCACGTTTGAAAGCAGCGCTGATTCCAGAAACATCAGCACAAAGTGCGTTCGTTAATCTGAGCCAGCATGACGAACAAGGGAACGGCGCCGCTAACTCAGTTCAGCTGTTGCGTTCCACCCACCCATCCTAAGGATCTATGTAGGGGGCGGGCGTATTACGTGAACGGACCCATCTGATTGGCCACATATCAGAAGGGCTACATTTGATTGGTCAAATCATACTTCCGCGTAAAAAACAGAACTGGTTTACAAAAAGTTGATGTATGACACGGATGGAAATGTTGAACCAAACCTTTATCGCCGTTTTTGACGTGCTTTGCGATGGGCCTATCGCACGTCCTGTTATCCCGATGACGATAATTGTTCGATATATTGGGCAGCCCTAATTCTTTGTTTTTGATTATTTTTGTTCCTGAGCTAAGTTTTTATTTATCGCAAGTAATATCGTCGGTGCAATATTATTCACTGTTATCGCATATCACAGGTTTTCCTAATACCAAGCAGCCCTAGTTAAGAAGACCAATGTTCTCCAGGATTCAGTCCAGTGTGCCCTGTTAAATGCCCGCTCTATCTCAAACCCTTTATTGTAAATGAGCTGTTCATCAGAGAAAAGTTGGACT